CCAGCCCGTCTCGGATGTACCGCGGGATCTCATCTGTCCATTGTAGTTAAAACATGATATTTAATTCATCTTGTGCATGTCTAACGGACTGTTTTTGGTCTTATAAATCTATTATTTGTTCTCAGGTGTATTGTTTTGTCACTGTTATTTTGTTACCTTTTATAATTCCTCCCTCCATCCAAATACATGCAGCTGAAGTTAATTGACTAATCCAGCACCATAGACATGCTGCTAGTCAGTAGTTATCTGTTAAGAGCGATCACTATCTGTTCATGAGCTACTACAGCAGGGGAGTTCCTCACATCTACCTGAGCTCAAACTCCCCTCTCGCCCTGCAAACGGGAGGGAACCCCGGGCTCGAGGATCTTATGAGCTCAGGGCTTTCTCCCGGGACAGCATGCCAAACACGCTTCATAATCAATCATCAGCTGAGGGTGAACTCTTGCACGCTTATTTGTTAGCATGTTTTGTACTTTTGTGTGTGTGTGTGTGTGTGTGTTTTACTGTAACCCTCTTTAAAGCTTCTCATAATGATCAACGCATAAAACTAAATGTAAAATCCACAGCGCACCCTTCTCTTTACGAGACGCTGTAAACAACAGAGAACAGGGTTTAAAGGCCAGAAACCCTGTGTGTGCGAATGCATGCGTGCAAGTGTGTGTGTGTGTGATTGTGTGCGTGTGTACGCGAATACATGCGTGCAAGTGTGTGTGTGTGCATGTGTACGCGAATGCATGCATTTGTTTGTGTGTGTGCGTGTGCGTGTGCACGCACATGTGTGTGTGTGTGTGTGTGTGTGTGAGCGCGCACACTTGTGTAATGTGATAAGGAACTGTACACATAAGACTTGATGAACCGGTTGTCTGTCTGCTGTGTTTGGTTGCTATAGATGACTTCATGTCTTATAATAGGTTTGTTCTGCAGACAATAGAAATCTAATATTGCTGAAGGGGGCTAATAATATTGAAATGACTTTAAAACTATTAAAAACTGCTTTTATTCTAGCCGAAATAAAACAAATCAGACTTTCTCCAGAAGAACAAATATTAGAGGAAACACTGTGAACATTTCCTGAATCTGTTCAACATCATCGGGGAAATATATGAGAGAGAAAAGTCACAGGAGAGCGAGTAATTCTGACTTATTATTTCTTTCTTTTAAGATTAAGAGTTCTAAGATTAAATATACTCATTACAGTTTCACCAAGTCAAAATGAAGACTTTTTAAGACCTTTCTAAGACCATTATGAAGGAAATTTCAGACCTTTAGGGCTCAACACGACATACTTATAAACAAATGTTATAGTAAATGTTAGAATCAAACCAAACTGGTGAATAGAGTTATTAAATAACTACAATAATGAAAAGAAATCTTTCAGACGGATTGTTGGTTGTACTGCAACACAGTGGCGCAGTAGGTAGTGCTGTCGCCTCACAACAAGAAGGTCACTGATTCGAGCCTCGGCTGGCTCAGTAGGCATTTCTGTGTGGAGTTTGCATGTTCTCCCTGCGTGGGTGGGTTTCCTCCGGGTTTCAAACACAGTCTAAAGACGTGGTACAGGTGAATTGCATAGGCTAAATTGTCCATAGTGTATGAGTGTGAATGAGTGTGTGTGGATGTTTCCCAGAGATGGGTTGCGGCTGGAAGGGCTTCCGCTGCATAAAAACGTGCTGGATGAGTTGGCGGTTCATTCCGCTGTGGTGACCCCGAAATAATAAAGAGACTAAGCCGACAAGAAAACAAATGAATGAATGTTGGTTGAACCGACTGAGAAGCTTTACATGCAGAAAGGAAAATTAAGACCTGCTTAAAATGATTGGAGACCTACAACAGCTTATTTCAGTGAATTTAAGACCTAAGATGTTGCTTTGGAAATTTAAGACATTGTAAGACACTGTGGACGCCCTTATTATTTTAAGCTGTGGTGATTTTTTATGATCTGATGTGTGTTGTGGTGTATTTCGTGCTCTACATCCTCATGAATCACGCAGAGCGTCGAGGAAAAGCTTTCCTTGTTTTCTTGTTTGTGGTTTCCTTCAGTTTTACTCATTTACAGGCTCTCGTCCTCCTGGACTTGAAGTTTCCAAGCCAAGTTAATTTTTCACCGCTTACACAGCTTCCTAACTGCTTTCAGTAATTACAGCGAATCTAAAGGTTCAGGATCTGAGGTTAAACACGTCTGCATGCTCTCAGATGTTGTTTGTGTCAGTGATGTTTTATGGTGCGTTATGGTTTTGATTTGTAAATGTTAACTTCATTAATCACACACACACACACACACACACACACACACACACACACACACACACACACACACACACACACACACACACTTTCTTAGACTTGTCTAGAGAGAAAATGTTTAACTAGAGAGAAATGAACTAAATATTGACCATTATGTGTGTGTGTTTGTTATTATGAACTGTTATTAGTGTTCATACAGCTGAAAATAAAATGGTAATAAATGACAACAGCTACACTAATAAAAATAAAGGTTCAGTGATGCCCTTTTTAACCTTTTAAAGAATATTTTGATGAACATTTCTGAAAATATATGTTTTAAATTTAATAAAAACAACATTTTGGTAATGGATATAACATTTCTCCAATAAACAATTAGTCTTTATAAATGGGTTTATGGTGATTATTTGGGACTTTTTGAGCTTTGAACTTTAAAATTACATGTTACATTTGACTAATATCTGTATTAAAGGAGAAATTGTGTTTTGAGCTCATTTAAAAGCAAAATTAGGTTTGATTTACTCTTTATAGTAATGCAGACAGAAATTGTAGGTCAAAGTTTTGTCACTATTCAATATTTATAAAACATTTTAATTGTAATATTTTTTATTTATTCATGTATTTTAATTTAATTATAAATTTTAATTTCATTTAATTTTACTCAAAAAATGTGCAGCAATTCTGTTTCACCTTTACTGATTTTTCAGCACGTGTCCTATCGTTTAATGCATTAAATAATTGTTAGTATTTAGAATAAGGTCCAGAATATTTTTGTCAAAATAAATTCAATTAAATAAATGAATGAAAAATTAAATAAATGAATAAATACATAAATAAATAAAATAATTGTAATTAAAAATATTATTATAAATATTGAATAGGGTAAAAAACTTTGATCTTGTTTTAAATAATGACAATTAAACATTAAACTAAAGGACACTAGCCGAAAATTCTGTAAAGATGAAACAGGGTTGCTGCACATATTTTTAGTAAAAATGTATTAAAATAAATAAATACATGAATAAACAATAGTAATAATAATAATAAAAATATTATAATAATATATTTTTTTAATTGTGTGTGTATTATAGTTTAATGCATTAAGTAATTGTTATTATTTAAAATAAGGTCCAAGTTTTGTCACTATTCAATTTTTATAAAACATTTTTTATTATAATATTTTTATTTATTCATGTATTTTGATTTAATTATAAATTTAAATTTAATTTTACTCAAAAAATGTGCAGCAATTCTGTTTCACCTTTACTGATTTTTCAGCGTGTGTCCTATAGTTTAATGCATTAAATAATTGTTATTTAAAATAAGGTCAAAAAATAATTTTTGTCCTTAAAAATATTAAAATATTTTATAAAATATTTTTGTCAAAATAAATTAAATTAAATAAATAAAAGAAAAAATAAATAAATGAATTAATACATAAATAAAATAAATGAAATTAAAATATTTTATTATAATATTTTTTTAATTGTGTTTGTCCTATAGTTTAATGCATTAAGTTATTGTTATTATTTAAAATAAGGTCCAAGTTTTGTCACTATTCAATATTTATGTTAATATTTTTAATTCCAATATTTTTATAACAGTATATTTACCGATTTAAATTCTAATGAATTCATTATTATTTTATTTGACAAATATTTTATTTTCATTCGTCATTTATTTAATTATTTTATTTTATTTTATATTATTTATTTATTATTTTCTTTTTGGCTTATTCACATTATTAATCAGGGGTCGCCACAGCGGAATGAACCACAAACTTATCCAGCATATGTTTTACGCAGCAGATGCCCTTCCAGCTGCAACCCAACACTGGGAAACACCCATACACTCTTGCACTAACAATCATACACTACGGCCAATTTACTTAATCAATTCCCCTGTAGCGCATGTGTTTGGACTGTGGGGGAAACCAGAGCACAAATCCACGCCAACACGGGGAGAACATGCAAACTGACCCAGCCGGGGCTCAAACCACCAACCTTCTTGCTGTGAGGCGATCATGCTACCCACTGCGCCACAATGATGCCCTATTTTATATTAGTTACTTGACTGTAAAAAAAATCATGCAACAACCCTGCTTCATCTTTGTTTGTCTTTCAACATAATCTTCCGCAGTAGTGTCCTGTAGTTGAGTTTGGTCCTGTAATGCATTAAAAACAGTTGTTGATCCAGTTTTCTTGTGTACATGCAGATATGAGACATTTTTTCATACACAGAAAAAAATGATCAGATTTGAGAAACGGTCGAATTCCAGGAAGAAAATGTGCCCTTCCTGACGAACAGGTTTGATTAGAGGAAGCACTCGTGATCTCGCTGCAGTTTTGCTCCATCTGTGAATTCAAATGCAGGCAAATTCAGGCTCTTAGTCTCAGTGTCTGTCCTGATTATATTAGAGCTTTACAGGCGGGAAAAGAGTCAGAATGTTGATGCAAAACTCAGACAAATGCCTGTGTGTAAGTCTACAGTAGTCTGACTAAAACAGGCTCATTATTAATATCCAGAGGGAAGTAAATCTGTCGTGAAGGACACACACACTTGATGTTTAGTGGTTGAGGAAAATACATTTTTAGTGACGGACACACACACACACACACTTGATGTTAAGTAGTTGGTGGTTTTCTTTATAGTTTTCCTGCTGAACTGGTTGATCAAAGTGAATTACAGCTCATGCAAAGCCTTTATGAACATTACTGAACTGATCTGTGTGTGTGTGTGTGTGTGTGTTTGTTTTGCAGGAGCTCCAGCTCAGTATGACCCGACATTCAATGGCCCTATTCACAAAAGGTACGTGTGTGCGCATGTGCGTCTGTGTGTGTGTGTGCGCGTGCATGTGTGTGTGTTTTAGCAAAGCTTGAGAAATTGAATCTTGACCCTTTTTTGTGTGGAATAATTAGCGGTTCATTCTGCTGTGGTGACCACTGATGAATAAAGGGACTAAGCCAGGGGTGTCCAAACTTGATCTTGGAGGGCCGGTGTCCTGCAGATTTGAGCTCCAACTTATGCTATAAGAATGGTTCTAGAAACAAGAGCTTGATTAGCCCAGGTGTGTCTGATTGGGGTTGGAAGTAAACTTTGCAGGACACCGGCCCTCCAGGACCGAGTTTGGACACCAAAGGAAAATCAATGAATAATTAATTAATAATTAATATAATTGTTTTAGGTCCAGTTGCTATATTGGGCATTGTGTCAACTTCATTCAAATTCATGTATTACATTTAAATATTTTAGCTCTAGCTTAGTCTTGTAATATTCCAAAATAATTCACTATATCTTTATTTTAAACTGAACATAATAGCTATATGTTTACATTTTAAATTAATGTGTATGTGTAATTCGGCAACAAGTGAAAATAATTAAAATATAAAAACACTTGATTAGAAGCAATATGCATTTGTTTTATTTTGTTTATTTTATTTTATTATTTCATTTTATTTAATTTGTTTTATTTTATTTTATGTATTTATTTATTTCATTTTTATTGTATTTAATTTTATTTTATAATTTTTTTATTTTTTTATTGTATTTTATTTATTTATTTAATTTTATTATTTTATAAATTTTTTTTGTTTTAATATATTTTATTTTTATTTATTATTTTATTTTATTTTTCATTTTTATTCTATTTTATTTATTTTATTGCATTTTTTATTTTATTTAATACAATTTTTTTATTTTAATGTATTTTATTTATTATTTTATTGTATTTTTCATTTTTATTCTATTCTATTTATTTTATTGCATTTTTTATTTTATTTAATACAATTTTTTTATTTTTATGTATTTTATTTATTATTTTATTGTATTTTTCATTTTTATTCTATTCTATTTATTTTATTGCATTTTTTATTTTATTTAATACAATTTTTTATTTTAATGTCTTTTATTTATTATTTTATTGTATTTTTCATTTTTATTCTATTCTATTTATTTTATTGCATTTTTTATTTTATTTAATACAATTTTTTATTTTAATGTATTTTATTTATTATTTTATTGTATTTTTTTATTTTATTTTATTTTATTTTATTATTAGGACCAAATTATATTTGTGCATTGTGCAGCTGTATATCCATGTCTTCTTCAGATTTGTATCATTATTATGTTTTTGTTATGTTGAAGATTTATTTGTTCATTTACATGTATCATTTTAAAGGTATTGTTGTTGGGTTGTGCAGGAGCTGTACAGACATCATCTGCTGTGTGCTCTTCATGCTGGTCATCACTGGGTACATGGTGGTGGGGATTCTGGGTGAGTTTCTGTGTGTGTGTGCCTGCGTGCGTGCATGCGTGTGTGTGTATGCGTGCGTGCATGTGTATTTAAGGGTATAAATTTGGTGTGTGTGGGGTCAATGTTCAGATCCACTCATCTGTCTGCTGCTGTGTTTATTCTGATCTGAGTGCAGTATGGAAATCTCCTCCCTCAGGCTGCTGTATGGAAATGCAGGGCACTAGCGGTGTTTTGCTTCTATTGGTCTGGTTTATGCAGCACTTTTCAGAACCTCAAAAGAGCAATCTTTATTAAAATCAACTTCCTAGACTATTTTATTTTATCACTAATTTTAAAACTATTTTATTTTATTTTGTTTTATTAGCAAACTTGTCCAGCACATTATTTTTATGCAATGGATACCCTTCTAGTTGCAACCCATCACTGGGAAACACCCATACACAGTCATTCACACTCATCCACTACGGACAATTCAGCTTACCCAATTCCCCTATAGTGCATGTGTTTGGACTGTGGGGGAAACCGCAGCACCCAGAGGAAACCCACACCAACACGGGGAGAACATGCAAACTCCACACTGAAACACCAATTGACCCAGCCAGGACTTGAATTAGCGACCTTCTTTATAAAACAACATGTATTTTTTTATTAACTTACATTATTATTCTGTGTGTGTGTTTCCTCCAGCCTGGTTGTATGGAGACCCTCGGCATGTTCTGTATCCTAGAAACTCCACAGGAATGTTCTGCGGGATCGGCCAGAACCAGTGAGCCGGACTTCAGTATTTACTTTAGTGTAGTGCAGGTAAATTTACTCTGTCTGATGCTCTTGTGTGTGTGTGTGTGTGTGTGTGTGTGTGTGTGTGTGTGTGTGTCAGGAATAAACCCAGCGTCCTGTACTTCGACATCCTCAAATGTGCGACGGCCACAAACATCATGGCAGCGGCTCTACAAGGCCTTCAGTGTCCCACAACTCAGGTCAGACCTCTGCCGACCAGTGTGATCAGTTCATTTTGTTTCAAATTTTTACAATTGGATTTTTTTTGGCCGGTGACTCTTTTTATTTTAGAGTTTATTTAATTTTTTGTTTGTTTTTTATTTTTGTTATTTTTTTAGTTTTTTTAATTTTAGAATTATTTTAATTAAATTTTTGTTTGTTTTTATTTTAAAATTCATAAAAAAATTTGGGTTTTGTTTGTTTTTATTTTAGAGTTTATTTTATATTTATGTTTTTGGTTGTTTTTAGTTTAAAATTCATTGAAAATGTTACTTTGTTTTGTCTATTTGTTTGTCTGTCTGTTTGTTTGTTTTTTTGTTTGTTTGTTTTTAGATTTTAGTTGTGTTTTTTGTTATTATCTTAGTGTGTTATTTTAGAATTTATTTTAGATTTTTTTTCATTACATTTTATTTGTATTTTTGCAGCTTTTCATTTCAGATTTTATTATTCTTTTATTTGTATTATTTTTTTTCTTTTTTAAATATCATGTCAAATTTTTAGTTTTTAATTAGAATTTTTGTTTTTGTTTTAGAGTTTATTTTATATTTTTTATTTGGATTTTAGTTAGTTTTTATTTTAAAATTCATTTAAAATCTCTTTTGTTTAGTTTTAATTTTT